TTACTGGTGAGGGAGCAGGACGGCCCGTGACAAACCCAGCTGAGAAATCTCTGTGTGTCTGTGAAAATATCTGGGTTAAAGGGCCAGATGCACTGCACTCAAAGCCGCTACGATGTTGCTGCAACCGGTAGCGCTTTGGCCACAAGACTTGAAAGGTCACATATTGACAGGGTGTGTTCTCATCCAGCTGTCTGCTGTCCAGCGGCTGGAGATGATGGGAATAGTGTGGTGGGAAGGAGAGGAGGACAACCCATGTGACCTGCAAAAGTTGATGGCTGCCACGGAAAGGTGTGAATGGTGGTTGTCTAGTAGGAGCAGCACCTTTGACTCCAGGGTCGTCCGGTTGAAGCTGGTGGAACGTGACATGCTGGTGGCTTGAGGACGGCGGATGGACAGTGTTTTGATGTAGTGTAAAAGCGCTTTGAGAGGTTAAGAGGTCGAAAAGACTAGAAAGGCGCTATACAAACGGAGCATTTACATTTTGCTACGCTGAAAGAAGGAGGTGAGCCAGTACTTTCCTACCATCTGGGTTCTATCCCATGAAGACGGATATTTGCAGGCACCTAAAGCAGAACAATGATTAATGTGGACATTTTAAGAACTTTACATGATAACAAGTAGTGTGAGTGAAGGTCCCTGAATTTGCAAATATTATATGTATTTATTTAAATTATACGTTTCTATATTTATGTGTATGAATATTATAAACTTTTAATGTAGGCAATGAAGTGTGTGTGTGTGACCTCTTTGGGACTCAGGCCAAATTTTATTCTATATTCTGGAAGCTAAAACAGGAGAAATGTGATCTCTTTTCCTGGTTCCTGTCAGAACACGTGCTGCAGCTTTCTGGATCAGCTGAAGAGTCTTAATGGACTTTTCGAGCAGCCTGATAATAAGGAATTGCAGTAATCCAGTCTAGAAGTAACAGATGCATGGACTAGTTTTTCTGCATCATTTTTAGACAGGATGTTCTGATTTTCACAATATTACGTAGGTGAAAAAAGGCGGTCCTTGAAATTTGCTTAATGTGAGACCACTGCCCTGCAACGTCAGTTCAACTTGGAATGTAGGCTTCGGCCCTATGAAATAAATAAATAAATGAAAACTAGGGACATCTTCTCTTTCAGTAGTTATCATTTTTAGCCATGTTTTTAGTTTTATTTCAGTTAATGAACAATGTTTTTTCAAATCTAGATTTTGTTATTTTGCTCGTCCTTGGCAACGATAATAACCTTGAACAGATGTGATGTGACAGATTACTAAAACTACAGAGGAAACCAGTCAGAGCTCAATAAAGACCTGATGTCAGGAGAAAATGTTTCCTGCTGTTGAACTGTGAATAATAGTGAAGAGAACGTCGTTACTAAAGATCCGTGTGGAGTTTCTTGGAATTTTTGGAATTTCTTTTGAGATCTGAGTTCTTACTTTAAACCCAGAACTCAAAAGAAACTTCACATGTGGCCCTAATCCTCTTCCGTAGACTTCACTACCTTTATTGTAAGCAACACGTTTCCATTGCTTCTTCAGGCTCACACTGGGAAATTACAATAACATTCATATACAAATTGGTGTCATGACAAATTGCACTGGTCACATGACCTGCACAGGGTCTACTTAGCACACCAGTAAGTGTTTTTCTGTGCACTTCTGTGTTGTAACACTGTGAGGCAGTGTTAACAGGGGAGCTGCAGCTGATCGCCCTCTGGTGGGCAAACTATGCAACACCCATGACATGAATAAAGGATTTGACTCTAGGTTTCTTTTTTAATAGTCATATCTGCTGTTATAAACGGCCGATGCCGATTAAATGCAATTAGCTCATGTCGGCCGATAATATCAGCCAGCCGATAAATCGGTCGGGCTGTAGTTATTGTTTTGAACCAGTCTGCCCCTTTTCCTCTGACATCAACAAGGCATTTTCATCCACAAAACTGCCGCTCACTGGATATTTTCTCTTTTTCTGGCCATTCTCTGTAAACCCTAGAGATGGTTGTGCGTGTAAATCCCAGCAGAGCAGCAGTTTCTGAAAAACAATCGTGCCACGTTCAAAGTCACTTAAATGCCCTTTCTTCCCCATTCTTATGCTGTTTGAACTCCAGCCGGTTGTCTTGACCACGTCTACATGCCTAAATGCATTGAGCTGCTGCCATGTGACTAGCTGAGTAGCTTTTTCGTTAATAAGCAAACAGGTGTACCTAATAAAGTGGCCAGTATACTGTATATGTGTTTAATTAATCCTAAAATTAATAGATTATAAAGTATCATGAAATGACAACTGTTTATTTTATTGCAAGGAAACATGGGCAACCAATTCTACTCTAGAGACTTAAACCATAGCAACCTTTGCCTAGTTACTGTGATCATCTTACAGCTTTCCTGTGGAATAAACTACAAAAACAACAAACAGAAATTTTCATTCGCAGCATTTTCAAACAAACATCTTTGGATTCACCGTTTTATGTGGTGTATAAACTTGACAAAAAAAAAAAAAAATAGTATACAGTGGACTAAATATGAATCAAATTCTTGGGCCTTTGCCTGGACCCAGTGACCAGGTTGCTGAGAATAAAATGATCAGCTAATCCAAACTCAACACAGCCAAAATCTAAAGTGGACCTTACCATGGCCTGATAAATCAAAAGCAGGGTGTCTCTGCGGGGTGGCGATGGTGCAACGGATGAGACGCCTGCCTTTGGTGTGAGAGACCCGGGTTCAATTCCCCACTGTGACCCATCCACCATTGTCTCTGAGCAAGACACTTAAACCCTAGTTGCTCCAGAGGCGAGCGACCTCTGACATGTATAGCAATTGTAATGGAAAAACGCATTTCTCTCAGCCCCCAATCACTTCCAGGTAAACTACAGAAAGGGACTTTCTCCTATTTACAGATTATTTGTTGCTAACCATGTTAGCTTTTTGTCCATCCAGACATTTGAAGACTGTGACTCTTTCTGAAGGACTCTTATAGGTAGAAAGATTCACTGCAGGACTTTTCCTCTTGCAGCCAAAGATCATGAGCTTCCTGTTATATCCCCACTGGTCAA